GCTCTTATTATTCCTTTCATGTGATTTTTATTTTTTTTGTTTCTGCGGTGCTGCGGTGGTGTTGCTGGCAATGTATTACTCTTGATGCAATTTAGTGTTCCAACATTTAATGGGTCCAACGTATCTGATTTACTCTTTGTTTCTGTTGGCAAAACAGTACTAGCATATCAGTGATAAAATAATGAAGAGTTTTATGTAACTCTCCTGATGCTGAGTTTTGCACTGTTATTTTTATACTGCGTCTGGTGGTGTGTGCTGCTGTTTCGCGGGAAATGTTTCTAAAGGGATGGAGTGACGGACACAGGTACACTGTTATTGATATTGATTGGGGTGATAATGGCAATAACTGGAGGCACGTCTGACATTGCTGTATACATGATATTCGTGGATTCTGTGTTGAACTATCCCAGGATAAGAAAAACATGAGAAACCGTGTCAAGGTTAAAGGGGACCACAACAAAGGAGGGGAATCAACCAAGGATGAAGACAATGAATTGTTTCATGAAACAAATGACATGATGTTTGTTAAAAGAAAGAAGAAACAGTTTTCCCAACAAAGCACTTAATTTTGCAATCAACTGCACAATGATATTTCCAATATTCAATATGAAGGGGATAAAGTCGATTTCTCCCTCACTCAAAAGCATCGCCTTTATTATTATTATTATTATTATTTTTTTATTATTTTTTTTTGCAATATCCATTGGTATCACTGTTAGAATTGACGGTAAAAGTGTGGCACTGCCAAATGGCCAGAAGGTAAAATTATAATGGGAGTTGTACAGGAAATTGAAACAAAATATACAATGACACTGTTATCAATACATGATAAGAAAATTCAGGTTGAGGTTTCTCTTCAACTGTAGCCCATTATGGTTCTCATAATCGTTTTTCTCAAAAAACAATTGGAGTAAAGAGATCGAGAGAAATAACCAGAATGAGTAAGATGATGAAATAAAAAGAAGCTGCCAATCCATTAAATTATCTCAACCCCTACATCAATTAGCAAGTACACCACTTATTTATTTTCTCTGCAGGCCCACCTTGGTGGTAATGTGCATTACCATTATTCTTACAAACTTTACTAATACTCACAGTTGGGTGCCTATTTGATTTTTTGTTCTCTTTCTTTTTTCTTGAATTATTTTATTTTTGTTTTAGAAAAGCAAAATACTAAATCCCCATTTTTTGTACAAGCAATTTTTTTTTTTTACGCCAAATACAATGGAAGACCCTGTCACTCTGCTCTCGAAGCTAACTCTGCAGGAGAAGGCCGACCTTTGCAGTGGTGCTGATGGGTGGCATACTCATGCAGTAAACCGTCTCGGTGTACCACAGCTTTATTTAACAGATGGTCCGAACGGACTGCGATTGTTTTGGGCG